CTGTTTCTCTCGTTGGTCATTTTCAGACAGGAAGTCATTCTGTCTCTGCCTGGAGGAACTGTTTCTCGTATTAGTCACTCTCAGACAGGAAATCATTCTGTCTCTGCCTGCAGAAAATGTTTCTCCCGCTGGTCATTTTAGAATTACTTATTTTGTTTTTTGACCGCCTGTTGGGGAGGTGGAGGCGGGGCTTACATTTCTTCTATGGCTCTAAAAATACAACATGGCAGCTCCTAACAAACAAACATTTTGGCTTCAGTTTTGAACATTGGTAGAAGAGGAGGAGACACTTAACATCAAGAGTAGGCCCTCGTTTTATTTTGAACCACAGCGTCCAACAAAATGTCCCACACTTTTTCATATGTCCCCAAATCTGGACAGCCATCATCCTGTCTGATAATCTGGTGGTGAGGAAGTTATTTAATTAATCTGGCCATAAAGAAACCATTTGGGTAGGCTGATGATCTACAGCTGACGTGTTTGATGACCTGACTCGCCCTGCTGGTATTAGAGGCGGGATTTCCTCAGCTCCAGTGACGCACCGCAGCATTCCTGTGTGGAAACGTCACGCTCCACTCCCCGTACAGTAGATCAGACACTTAATGTCTCATTATTGTCCTTTGTTGTCTAATCTGTTTGACACACTCCACCCACCTCAGGATGGACCTCATCACAAAATCACTCGTGGTAAAATAAAAACCTAAGTGTCCTAAAGTCTCAGATACAAATTGCCCAAATGTTGTTTTTTAACAATGAAAACATCTGACAGCTCCGTTAACGTGCCTGATGTAGCAGCAGGAGGACAAAGTGAGGACAAAGTGGATAGTAAGACCAAGTTTAATTTCTTCTTTCGGCTGTTTACATCTTCAAGGGTCGCCACAGTGAACTTACTCGCCCAAGACTTGGTAAATGTTTTTACATCAGATGCCCGTCCAGACGCAACCACAGACCACGGAGCTACCACAGCCCTCTGTGTGGAGCAGAGAGCTGCATCTAGGCCGCCCGGGGGAGCAGATGGTGGGGGTTCAGGGCCTTGCTCAAGGGCCCAGAGTGGGGCAAATGAGGGTGGTTCACATTTCACACCCACATTTTGATGACGGTCAAGGGAGACCTCTGGTCTTTAATGTTCTACCCTCTGGTCTTTGACGTTCTCCGCTTGGGTCAAAGACGTTCTCCCCTCAATCCATTAATATTCTCTCCTGGTTTTTAACATTCTCTCCACGGGTCATTGACGTTCTCCCCTGGGATCATTGACGTTGTCCCCTCAAGTCATTGACGTTCTCCCCTGGGGTCATTGATGTT